CCTAAATACCTAAAAAAATAAAATTGGATGATTATAACCTGATTTCAAAGCTTAGGGTAAATATGGTAATTAAGCAAGTACGATTTTGGAACTGACAAACTGGTCAATGAAACCAAAAAAGTACAGATTTTTTTCCCAGGTTTTTTTAATAAAGATGCAAGGGTAACGGGGTAACAAACGGGAAATCATAAATCTTTTCAATTAATGGTGCCGAACAACTGGAGACCTGCACAATAAAAAGGATTTTTACGTTACACTCAAAATGTATAAATGTAAAAGCTATAAAATTTCTCAAGAAAACATTAAGAAAAGTTTTGCAATCTTAGGCAAAGATCATACAAGGACACAGAACAAACCATACAAGAAAAAAAAATTGACAAAATTTGGACTTCACAAAATATAAAAACATCTGCTCTTTGAGGGTCACTGTTAAAGTTAAAACATTTCACAGATGCAATGGCTCACACCTGTAATTCCAGCACTTTGGGAGGCTAAGACAGGAGGATAGTTTAAGCTCAGGAGTTAGGGACCAGTCTGGGCAACACAGCAAGACCTCGTATCTACTTTAAAAAAAAAAATCAAAAAATTAGCCAGGCGTGGTGGCGCATGCCTGCAGTACTAGCTACTCAGCAGGTTAAGGAAGGAGAATCATTTGAGCCCAGGAGGTCAAGGCTGCAGTAAGCCGAGATCACTCCACTGCACTTCAGCCTGAGTGACAGAGCGAGATCGTGTCCCCCAAAAAATAAATAAATAAATAAAAAGAAAAGAAACTTTAAAAACAAGCCACAGACTGGGAGGAAGATTTATAATACAGACATACCTAGATTTGACAATTCAGTAAGAAGACAATCTGCCCAATTAAAAATGAACAAAGAGGGGCCGGGTGCGGTGGCTCACACCTGTAATCCCAGCACTTTGGAAGGCTGAGGTGGGCGGATCAAAAGGTCAGGAGATCAAGACCATCCTGGCTAACACGGTGAAACCCCGTCTCTACTAAAAATACAAAAAAAATTAGCCAGACATGGTGACTGGTGTCTGTAGTCCCAGCTATTCGGGAGGATTAGGCAGGAGAATGGCGTGAACCCGGGAGGCAGACCTTGCAGTGAGCCGAGATCGTGCCACTGCACTCCAGCCTGGGCGACAGAGCGAGACTCTGTCTCAGAAAAAAAAAAAAAAACAAGGGGGACATCTAAAAAAAATGCACAAAAATATTTTAGATACTTCAGGAAAGATATATAATTGGCCAAAAAGCACATGAAAAGATGCTCATCATTAGTCATGAGGAAACTAAAATTTAAATCATGATGAGATTGCGCTAAACTAACTAGAATATCTAAGTCCAAAAAGCACCAAGTGCAACTGGGCACAGTGACTCACACCTGTAATCCCAGCACTCAGGGAGACTGAAGCAGGTGGATCACTTGAGGCCAGGAGTTCCTGACCAGTCTAGCCAACATGGCGAAACCCCATCTCTACTGCAAAAAAAAAAACCAAAAAACTTAGCCAGGCATAGTGGTGCACGCCTGCAGTCCCAGCTACTCAGGAGGCTGAGGCACAATTATCACTTGAACTCAGGAGGCAGAGATTATAGTGAGCCGAGATGGAATCACTGCACTCTAGCCTGGGCGACACATGGAGACTCTGTCTCAACAAACAAATTAACAAAATATTAAAGATAGGCTGGGCACCGTGGCTCATGCTTGTAATCCCAGCACTGTGGGAGGCCAAGCGGGTGGATCAGGAGGTCAGGAGTTCAAGACCAGCCTGACCGAGATGGTGAAACCCTGTCTCCACTAAAAATACAAAAATTAGCTGGGCGTGGTGGCAGGCACCTGTGATCCCAGCTACTCGGGAGGCTGAGGCAGAGAACTGCTTGAACCTGGAGGCAGAGGTTGCAGTGAGCCAAGGTCACGTCACTACACTCCAGCCTGCGCCAACAGTGAGACTCCATCTCAAAAAAAAAAAAAAAAAAAAAAAAACTTAAATTAAAAAAAATTAAAAAATTAAAAATAGGCCAGGCACACTGCCTCAGACCTGTAATCCCAGCACTCTGGGAGGCCAAGATGGGCGGATCAAGAGCTCAAGAGATGGAGACCATCCTGGCCAACTTGGTGAAACCTCATCTCTACTAAAATTACAAAAATTAGCCGGGCGTGGTAGCACGCGCCTATAGTCCTAGCTACTCGGGAGGTTGAGGCAGAAGAATCACCTGAACCCGGAAGGCAGAGGCTGCAGTGAGCCGAGATCGCTCCACTGCACTCCAGCCTGGATGACAGAGCAAGACTTCGTCTCAAAATAATAATAATAATAATAAGGCCAGGCACGGTGGCTCACACCTGTAATCCCAGCACTTTGGGAGGCCAAACTGAAGTCCAGAGTTCAAGACCACCCTGACAAACATGTAGAAACCCCGTCTTACTAAAAATACAAAATTAGCCAGGCATGGTGGCACATGCCTGTAATTCCAGCTATTTGGGAGGCTGAGGCAGGAGAATTGCTTGAACCCAGGAGGCGGAGGTTGCAGTGAGCTGAGATGGCGCCATTGCACTCTAGCCTGGGCAACAAGAGCGAAAACTCCGTCTCAAAAAATAACAATAATAAAATAAAATAAAAATAAAAAATAAAAACACCAAGTGTGGGTAAAATGTGGAGCAACTAGAAGTAATTCACTCATTGCTGGTAGGAATGTAAAATGGTACACCACTATGGAAAAGAGCTTGGCAGTTTCTTATAAAGTTAAACATACAGAATTTACCCCTAAATATTTACCTAAGTCACATGAAAGCCTAATATTTACAAGAAGCCTTATAAACAAATACTCATAGTAGCTTTATTCACAATGGCCAGTAGTTGTAAGCAACTCAAATATCCATCCATATATCACGGACAAAACACAGTTATGTCCATACCATGGAATACGACTCAGCCATAAAAAGGAACAAAATACTATACACACGAAGATATGAATGAAATCTCATAAACACATGCTAAGCAAGAGAAGCCAGACACAGAAGAATACATACTATATGATTTCACTTAATATTAGAAAACACAAAACGTATTTATAGTAACAGAAATAGCTATCTAAGGCAGGTAGAGTACAAAATAACTGTAAAAGGGCACAAGAGAACTTCTGTGGGGTAATGGAAGTGTTCCGTATTTTTATTATGGCAGTGCGTTACATGAGTACATATGTTTGTTAAAACTCATTGAGCTCAGCCGGGCGAAGTGGCTCATGCCTTTAATCCCAGCACTTGGGGAGGCCCAGGCAGGTGGATTACTTAAGGTCAGGAGTTCCAGACCAGCCTGGCCAACATGGTGAAATCCAGTCTCTACAAAAATACAGGACAGGCATGGTGGCTCATGTATGTAATCCCAGCACTTTGGGAGGCCAAGGTGGGCGGATCACCTGAGGTCAGGAGTTCCAGACCAGCCTGCCCAACATGGTGAAACCCCGTCTCTACTAAAAATATAAAAATTAGTCAGACACAGTGGCTTACGCCTGTAATCCCAGCTACTCGGGAGGCTGAGGAAGGAGAATTGCTTGAACGTGGGAGGGAGAGGTTACAGTTCGTCGAGATTGCCACTGCACTCCAGCCTGGGCAACAGAGTAAGACTCATCTCCCAAAAAAACCAAAAAAACAAAAACCAAAAAAAAAACCACCTCATTGAGCTCTACAACAGAATTTTTTTTTTAATTATTGTATTACTATTATTTTTTTAATTTTCTTTTTAAATAGAGACAGGGTCTCATTGCAACCTTGACCTCCTAGGCTCAAGTGATCCTCCCATCTCAGCCTCCTGCATAGCTGGGACAACAGGGCAAATAGCTGAGACTACTGTGCACTCCACCACGCAGCCCCCAAGATGTTTTTATGTTGTTGTTTTTGTTTTTTTTAGGCAGAGTCTTGCTCTGTCGCCCAGTCTGGAGTGCAATGACACAATCTGAACTCACTGCAACCTCCGTCCCCCAGGTCCAACCAATTCTGGTGACTCACCCTCCCAAGTAGCTGTGCTTACAGGCACACACCACCAAGCCCAGCTAATTTTTCTTATTTTTAATAGAGACAGGGTTTCGCCATTTGCCCAGGCTGGTCTCAAACTCCTGAGCTCAGGTAATCCACCTGCCTCGGCCTCCCAGAATGCTAGGATTACAGGCGTGAGCCACCGAGCCTGGCCCAAGGTACTATTTTTTTTGAGACAAGGTCACTCAGTCACCCAGGCTGGAGTGCAGTGGCACGATCTGGGATCACTGCAACCTCTGCCTCCAAGGTTCAAGCAATTCTCGTGCCTCAGCCTCCTGAGTAGGTGGGATTACAGGGATGTGTCACCACGCCCAATTAATTTTTGTATTTTTAGTAGAGATGAGGTTTGTTTTGGTTTTGTTTTTGTTTTTTTTTGAGACAGTCTGTCACCCAGGCAGGAGTGCAGTGGCACCATCTCGGCTCACTGCAACCTCCGACTCCCAGAGTCAAGTGATTCTCGAGCCTCAGCCTCCCCAGTAGCTGGGACTACAGGCGCACATCACCACGCCCAGCTAATTTTTGTATTTTTAGTAGAGTCGGGGTTTCGTGCCATGTTGGCCAGGCTGGTCATGAACTCCTGACCTGAGGTGATCTACCCGCTGAAAGTCTGGGGCTTGAGCCACCGCACCCCTGAGGTGCTTTTTATGAAGGTAAATTAGATGTCAATAAAGCTGATAACAGTTTCTGAAAGGATTATCTTAACTACATAGATTTTACTTTGTATATATATGTTCAGTAAGTTAAATGAAATCATAATACAAAACATTGCTGAGATTTAAACTCTGAAGTTTGAAGAAAGTACATGACTCTTGACTCCTACAAGTACACAAAAATTTCTTATTTGTATTCACTGAATATTTACTCAACACCTACTTACCATATGCTAGTATCAACTGCAAGGAAAGACAGAATTCCAGAACAAAGAGAAGCCCATATGTAACTGGATAGAAGAAGGACAAGATATTTAAAACTTACGTTGTTAGCAAGAATGCCCCATCACCACATCTTTCCAGAGCCTTTCGTGCAGGAGGTTTTGCTGCAAATTCTACAAAACCTTTTCCCGTAGCTCTACCGCGATCATCCACAACCACAACAGCTTTCTCTACAGGACCAAACTGAGAAAATGCTTGCTCTAGTAGCTCATTGGAAACAACTGGAGAAAGGTTCTTGACAGTTAAGGCAGCTCCATGCGTAGCAAAGCGAATTCGTAGAGGTCTGCTCTTCAAAATAGTGCCATCCAGCTCTGCTTTTGCAATTTCAGCCAGTGTTCTGGATTCCTTTTTAGGAAGAAAAAACATTGTTAGAAGATGACAGTAACAGAAAAAATTTAAAACACTCTTTGGCTTCTAGGGAGAACGAGGTAGCTTTAGCAAATGGCTGACAGGGTCGATTTGATTTTTTATCTTTTAACTTTGGTATCACAGGGTTTTTAACTATTCAGTCACCATTTTAAACATTTTAATTAAAAGGTCCGAACTTTGTTGTTTTGTTAAAAGTAATCATTTAAAGATTAGCTCCTCATAAGGCTAGTTACCAACTATTAAATATTCAAAGCAATATAGTTTTAAAATCTCCTACATATATTAAAAACATATTAATAACTTGACTAGAGGCTGGGCACAGTGGCTAACCCCTGTAATCCCAGCACTTTCAGAGGCCGAAGCGGGCGGATCACCTGAGGTCAGGAGTTTGAGACCAGCCTAGCCAACATGGTGAAATCCCATCTCTACTAAAAATACAAAAATTACCTGGGCGTGGTGGCGGGCGCCTTAATCCCAACTACCTGGGAGGCTGAGGTAAGAGATCTCTTGAATCCAGGAGGCAGAAGCTGCAGTGAGCCGAGATGGCGCCACTGCACTCCAGCCTGATCAACAGAGCAAGACTCTGTCTCAGAAAAAATAAAAATAAAAAATAACAATAACTTGGCTAGAAACTATCATCAAAGGAATAATTCTCTCCATACCCTTATGTTTTTCATCTCTTTTCTTTTTTTTTTTTTGAGACAGAATCTGGCACCGTCACCCGGGCTAGAGCACAATGGTGCAATCTCGGCTCACTGTAACCTCTGCCTCCCGGGTTCAAGAGATTCTCCTGCCTCAGCTTCCTGAGTAGCTGGGACTACAGGCGAACGCCAGCACGCCCAGCTAATTTTTTGCATTTTGTATTGAAACCCCAGTAGAGACGGGGTTTCACCATGTTGGCCAGGTTGGTCTCGAACTCCTGACCTCGAGATTCGCCCACCTCAGCTTCCCAAAGTGTTGGGATTACAGGCATGAGCCACCGCACTCGGCCTGTTTTTTATGTCTTAATAAAACATTCCGCCTCTGTACAGCCAGACAAATCACCTTTTCTTTTTATTTTCATTTCTTTTCAATATTATATGTAAAAACTATTAGTTCTTGGGTTTTTTTTTTCAGGGGAGGGAGGTGTCCTGAGACAGGGTCTTACTCTATTGCCCAGCCTGGAGTACAGTGGCACAATCATAGCTTACTGCAGCCTCAAACTCTGGGGCTCAAGGGATCCTCCTGCCTCACCCTCCCGACTAGCTGGGATTACGGATGTATGCCACCAAGTCTGGCTAATTTTTTAATTTTTTGTAGAGATGGGGGGGTCTCACTATATTGCCTATGCTGGTCTCTTGAACTCCTGGCCTCAAGCAGTCCTCTCGCCATAGCCTCCCAAAGTGTGAGATTACAGGTGTGAGCCCCCTTGCTCTAGCCAATGTCTTATTAATGACTTCTCCTGAAATACTGGCATGGGTTACACATTTCTCACCATCACATGAAGAGAAACAAAGACAACATTCACGAGCTATAACAGTTCTCGCCATTATATAGAGAAGCAAGTGTACATATGCACTTATTATAAACTAAAAAATATGCTCATTGCTGAAACTACAAGGTAAGAGAACTTCCTTCTACTTGGAGAATTCAAAGTTGGTGTAGAATATGGGCAGCACCGGCCGGGCGCGGTGGCTCAAGCCTGTAATCCCAGCACTTTGGGAGGCCGAGACGGGCGGATCACGAGGTCAGGAGATCGAGACTAGCCTGGCTAACACGGTGAAACCCCGTCTCTACTAAAAAAATACAAAAAACTAGCCGGGCGAGGTGGCGGGCACCTGTAGTCCCAGCTACTGGGGAGGCTGAGGCAGGAGAATGGCGTAGACCTGGGAAGCGGAGCTTGCAGTGAGCTGAGATCCGGCCACTGCACTCCAGCCTGGGCGACAGAGCGAGACTCCGTCTCAAAAAAAAAAAAAGAATATGGGCAGCACCTAAAACAATAAATAAGGAACTGGTAAATGTAATAGCGGTACGTCTTTTTCACTGTGTTATGGGAACTCTCCAGGGACAACTGAACAGGCTTTACATGTATATGTAAGAAGAATACAAACATACTATCTTATGAAAAATGTCTTAAGGTCACAAGAGCTCTTTATTCAATCCCTAAAATGTTCATGACAGCTTGAAATTATTGCCCTTTATTGCAAAAATCTACCTATAGAATTATTTTTCCAAAAACAAATGAAGTTACCCTTTTTAGAGATATACTCATCCCTCTGTATCCATGGATTCAACCAGAAGTAGATCAAAAATATTTAGGATCAGGCCCAATGGCTCACACCTGTCATCCCAGCACTTTGGAAGCCTGAGGCAGGCAGATTACTTGAGGTCAGGAGTTCAAGACCTGCCTCCTGGCCAACATAGCAAAACCCAGTCTCTATCAAAAAATACAAAAATTAGCCAGGGCATGGTAGTAAGCACCTGTAGTCCCAGCTACTTGGGGGGCTGAGGTGGGAGAATCTCTTGAACCCAGAAGGCAAGAGGTTGCAGTGAGCCGAGATCACACCACTGCACTCCAGCCTGGGTGACAGGGAGAGACTCGGTGTCAAAAAAGAAAAAAGAAAAGAAAATATTCGGGAAAGAAACAATTTAAAATAATACAGACAGGCAGGGTAAGAGGGCTCACACCTCCTGCAAGCTCCTACTCAACGGGTTTTTACGACCATGTCTCCCCGCCTCAGCCTCCAGCGCGGGACTCAGGCGCGCACACCGTGCCACGCAACCGGCTAATTTTTTTGTATTTTAGTAAGAAACGGGGTTTTCAACCCATGGGTTGAAAAATCAAACCATCCATGTTAGGCAGGATGGTCTCGATCTCCTGCCGCGATCGCCGTCTGCTCGGCCTGGCGGGAGG